CTAATACTCCTTCCTCCTCCTATTTTCCCCACAACAACAACCCTGTGAGGTGGGTTGGACTAAGAAAAAATGACTGGCCCAAAATCACCCCACTAGTTTCATGCCTAAGGCAGGATTGGAACTCACAGCCTCCTGCTTTCTAGCTTGGTGCCTTAACCACTAGACCAGACTGGCTCTCTTTGACTTTGACTTTGCTTTCCTTTTATTAACTTTCCCATTGTTATGGGACTTGCTATCAATTTGGAATTTTCCAGCAAGAAGGGCTTTGGCTCCGTTGTGAATGTGAGTGATGCCATCGCCAGTGCTCGAAGGCAAGTTTTGAATTATTCCCTGTAATTTGTGCCTTTGTCCATACAGAATAAATGTGACTGAGGATCTTCCGCACCATTTGCTTCATAATCTTATTTCTTCAGGGTTCCAAGAAAACTTCCTGTCATCTATTATGCAGAACAAAATTGATTTTCAGATCATAATAAAATAATTTTTCTTCCACTACTGTCTTCTACTAAAGCTATATTCTTGGGGCTACAATTAGATTTGGAGCTATTTCTAGAGAGAAATTAGTTTGCAATGGTGCTTACAAACATCATTTCAAATATGCATATTTATACCATGTCTTGTTTGGTCCTGTTTATTTTCATTATTTGGCTTTATTTTCATAACTTGGTTTGTTATGACATAAATGATATACAGTACACATAAATATGCCACTACTACTGGTAGTGTGCTGTGATTGGGTGCTGATTTACACCACATCCCAGTATCCTAATTCCAATGAGGGGAGCCATTTTTCTAGATTTCCTTTCTTTCCACAGAACTGAGTAACAGGATTCACACGTTTTGCTAAGTCACAACATGGGTGTTTGATTTTGGCATAGCACATTGTAAGAGCCAAATCATTGTGGGATGTAAACTATGGTTAATGGTTTGTTGTGCAAACCCTCCCAATTGTTGTTTATTCAATAAACAATAGTTAAACAAGCCATGATTTAGTTATACTAGCACTTGCGTGATGCAACATTGTACTTGAAGTGCCAGTGTCTTTAAAATAATGGATATTTGGATGAAGTGTAAATGCTCTTCCTCCATACTATCACCTTGGCAGCCACTTCTCTCCTTTGGCCTCTCCAGTGGCAGATTTCCCCGGGCAGTGCAGATCTCTTAGCTGATCATTTGACTGGCTTCTGGAAGGAGAGCCACTTGAGGGCTATGCCAGATGGGTCATGTTTTCTGCACTGGTGGCAAAAGATTAATCTTATCCCAATCCACTCAGGCAGTGGAGCTTAGCTAGCACTGATTACCCCGTGAGAGAACATTGCAGAAGGAGAGCATGTGAGGATCAGAAAGAGTCTGACTGGGCTAGAGACGCCTCCGCACGCTCTTCTTTTAATGCAATATATACCATCATCTCCCAGGAATGCCCTTCTGGATTCTACGTAGGACAAATAGGTCAGGCTGTGCACGAAAGAATTAACGGGCACAAATTTGACATCAGGTCTCAAAACAAGGTCAAAGTAATAGCAGAGCTTTTTAACTTGCCAGAGCATTCCCTTACAGATTGATTCACGGGATGTGTTCAAATGGAGGCTAGGCAGCGACCCATCCAGAAGGGTTTAATCTGGATTCCTGAACTCAGCAAGAGGTTGGACTTGAGGATTCTATAATTTTGAGGTTTCTTTCTTTGGAAAGATTTATTTCTATGTAGCTTTCACCTCCTTCAATTTGATATCCATCCCCTGTGTGTAGACAGTGCATTTTGGCTACATAAAGATCTGTAAGAGTTGGTTCCCAGACTGATAGATTTAGGTGACTATTATGTAAACAACTAGCTATACAAATTATCTTGATCAATGAAGAGACCCACCTTCTTTCCTACAGTGTCCTCAGGATCCTGCTGCTTTTTTCAAAACAATTAAAGCAATGTCACAGTATCACATCTCAAGCTCCACCTGTTTGGGGCATCTGTGTGACATTTTGATGTATGCAGAAAAGGCTTGCATCACAAGGCTGCAATGCTACTTTCTTCATCTTGACACCTTCATCCTTTCCTTATGGATGCTGTAAACAAAGAACCAGAAAGATTTCTCATTAAGACACATGGAGATATATGGTTGAGAAATTGAAAATAGTTCACTTATTGAAATTTCTGTACCCCCTACCCTTTTCATCTCAACAAATCTTGCTGAAGAGAACTTTGTGAGAATCATGGTTATAAAAGAATCATGTTTGGTTTAGGCAGCTGCTGAAGAACCTGACAAGATCAGTGCTCAGATAATGAGATTGCTATTAGTCAGAGTTTGGCCAAAACATTTGGATACCTAAAGAAAGGATGAAATAGCCTTCCACTATACTGTTGTGCTGACAAGTAATAGAAGTTTAACACTGACAATAGCTCGGTGCACTCTGTCCTACATAATGGCTGTATGATAGTTTAGAGCAGTGTTTCTCAAGCTCAGCAACTTTAAAATAGGTGAACTTCAACTCCCAGAATTCCCCAGCCAGCATGCTCCATGTATCTTAAAGTTGCCAAGTTTGAAGAACACTGGTTTAGATGGGTTGCAGGGTTAGAAGTATGGCACTTGTGAATTTGACCTAAAGAGACATAATTATGGTCAAATTCTGGTACTGTTCTGGTACCATTCTGGTACTGTTAGTAAAGAGCTTCTGAGCAGATGGGGCAAAAGGATAGGAAAGCTGATGAACTGAAACTATGGGAGGGGACTTTGAAGGACATCTTCATTGAGTGATGGCTACCTCAAACACTTTAGATGAAGGACTGCCTAATATTGTTTATAGTTCTGTTTTCATGTCGAATAGTATCTCTCAGAAACATATAGTTAAACATTAAGCAGTAGGGGAGAAAACAACTTCTTCTTGAACGCAAATGTTTTGTTACCATGGAAATGGGTACATCTGGAGATATGTGGCCTTGGCAGTGTGCAGTGTAAATAAAGTGTTCCTATCTCTCCTTGCCCATTGTGTGCTTTTGATCCAGCAAGAGGAGGGTCCTTTCAATCACACTTCTAACTGTGTACATCAAGCCAAGGACAGACTAGTCAATTTCAAGGCTTCACACTCTCCAGCTCTGCCAGTCAACTGCTGACCAACCTATTAAAAAAAAAAAAAGTGCTTGTAGAAGCAGGTTTCAGTCTTCCTTATAGTAAAAAGAGGACTGAGGAGCAAGAGAACAAGTTAGGGACCAAATGGAAGGGGCAGTCCTGCAGGAAACCAGCAGAACCCATTGGAGCCACCAAGGGGTTGACACAGAATGTATCATTTCAGTCTGCCTCCTCCATGAGCATCAGTGCATCCTACCTGGCCCACATGCAGCACCTGAAGGTGGGATTGCTTCCAGAGCAAACACACCTAACGATATCCTTGGTTGACTCAGCTGTAGGTGGATGATGAAATACGGGCAGTGGCATGCAAGCAGGTCCTCTGGAAACTTTCATGGGCTGTCCTTGCACCAGGGCCAAGAGACTCTGCAGATTTTCACTTAGTAATGTGAATGTGAACCAGGTTTTAGGAAGAGAGTTAAGAGGAATGTATCTATTTATGAAGAACTTTATATCTATTGTGCCTGGATTGTTGCAAAATATTATTTTGGTTCTAGGAAAGATACTGGCATGAGTGCCTTCTCCGTTTTTGAACTGACTCTTGATCAGGGTAAGGGAAAGACTGCAGTTCTACATGGTCGGTTTTAATTTTTTTTAAAACCGAGTGGTATTAGAAAGAGGACGTGTTTTATATTTCTAAGGTTTGTTTTTTTTCTTTTGTTATTCTTGTATTAAATACAAATAATAATTAAAAAACAAAAAAAATTAGGTGTCCATGAGCATCTGGCATCACAAGATACCACACTGGGATTCTAGCATTAGGACACGCTTAGATAATCTGGTGCTGAGATACAGATTAGTTCCTGCATTCCTTGCAGACAAGCTGAGTGGAGTGGCCATTGAATATGACTTAAAATGGTAGAAACAGGACAGCATCTTCCAGTGAACAGGAAGGCAGCAGACCAGCCAGGAGAATGATTCAGTTTAGTTTTCTCAGCCTCATGTGTCCTGAAAACAACACCTGTTTTTAAAATATTGAAGGGGGTGGGGGGAGATGAGTTCCTTAGAAGCAGCCGTTACATGTTTCTGTCTCTGTGTAACCGAAACTCCCACAGTTGCCTTGGAGAATATGATTAACACTACTCGGGCCCCAAAATGCAGGTGGGTGGAAGTTCAGATGCATAGAGATACTCCAGCTGAAAAACAGGATTTCTTTTCACTATAGGAGATCTAAGATGTACTACTTCTGATGAGGAAATATCTAAGGTAATCAGGACTGGTTGTAGCAGCTGGCATTTGAGTACTATAGTGAAATTTTTAGCTTAAAAACCCTCCATTTCCAAGAGTTGATGCTAGACGTCTGTTTGAACCACCTTTTGATTTTGCTTTTGCACCATGTAGTTACTATTCTAACGTAGTAATCTACTTCTGTTATGACTGATCAAACATGTAGTTTATTATGAGTTTTCTTTGTACCATCTTACCATCTGTGCAGCAGAACATGATTCCTCAACATGTCCTGCTGCCTCATTCTATCTTATGACAAAACTGGTCCTGGGTCATGAAAAGAACTATAAACTTGGCTAATTCTCATTGCCTTTACAAAGAGTGCTGGAGTGAAACTTCAGATGGATTTTTAGTTGAAATTCAATTTTTCAGAGAAGATGGGGCAACTGAATGTCATCTTATTGGAGGATTCCCAGTAAATGTATAGAGCTAAAAAGAGCTATTTCAAGTTTTTCACATCTCATTACTGGAAATGGAATCAAACTTTTGAATACCGGCCAGGTCTGTGCCCAGGTTCCAGAACAGCCCACTAATTCTAGAACTATAACTGTTCTGCAGAACATGCAAATTATCTAAATGCAATGCAAACATGAAGCAAGGCTTGGTATGCAATAATCCAGAAGCTGCTTTACTGTAACAATTAAACATTTGAGATAATTTGTATATGTACCAAATTGATGGTCTACTCAGAATTACCACAGGGGGGAGTCAGTTCAAATCTGATATAGCCAGGAATGATGAATGTGTGGTCTGACCCAACTGGAGGGCATTAAATTGGGGAAAGTTAATGTAAACTAAAAATCCAAAACTAGATCTCAGTCTGGCAATAGCTGTTAATCCACGTCCTAGTATTTTTAAAGACTTGCTGAACTAAGTGTTGAACCATGAATGCTGATGATAGCACACTATTAAAATCCTAGTTTACTAAAAAGTGCCCAGATGGCTAAAATGAGGGATATTCCCCCCGCTCTGTTTATGTCAGTAGGAGCCACAGTGCTGCTTGTTATCAAAGCCTGTAAGTAGGGTAGAGGGGAGCTGCTAAACTCTGGGTCAAAGGCTGATAATAAAAGAGGTGGAGAGAAAGAGAGGCAGCCTCATAGTGTTAGCTTGCAGCAATTAGGACACATTCAAGTCTTGAAGAAACATGGATGTTAAAGCGTGGTTGGTCTGTATGCTGTTTCTGGAACAATGGAGCCAGGGGTTCCACTACATTGGAGCAACTTTCCTCTCTCAAAAAAGAGACTTCTCCTTAAGTGGGGTTCCCCAACCATCGAATAAGATCAGGGCGCTGGCCCAGTCCAATCCTGACATACATCTTATCCGGAGTACGCTGGGGACTCAAGCGAGGCCATACAGCCTCTCCCTTTCTCCTGATGACTACCACCACTCTCTGCCCAAGGCAAAGCACTTGCGTACTTCCAGGTTGATGAAACTTCTGGGATCGTCCTATGACCCTTTCTGGATGTCTCTCGTGGACCCCCAAGGTCGGAACCCAAGCACCGAAGAACTGAGCACACAGAGCCAAGACCTGGCTGAACACAGAGCCCGGTTTAGGAAGAAGCTCCTGCAGGAGACAAGCAGATTAGAGCTTCCCAAGTGGCTGCCACTGCTGCTTTTTCAGGATGGGATCCCCCATAATTTGAGCCAGTCCTTCACTTACCATCTACGTCAATGGCTAGTGGATAGCGCAACCTGTTATTTAACCTCTTCCTGGGTAGACATGGGATCCATCTTCTGGCCACGCTGGATACGCCATACCTACTGTGATCTGACACGAGCTGGATGCTCTTGGCCTCCAGGCATGACTTGCAGGCCAGCCCAAATCACCCACATCAAACTCCTAGCATGGCACTGTTGGCTAAATGGAACCCAGTCTCTGAGTCCTAGAAAGTCTCGTAAGGAATGTGTTTGGAGACAAATTCCTTATCCTGTAGTGGCTGCATGTAAATGTGCCTGCTCATGATCTGGATGAGGTGAGGTTTGTACTGCAGCACTGAACTTTGTGAGGACTTTGTTGTCATTTCCCAGTCAGGTGAAAGCTGGTACTCAGGATGAGGGTATAGTCTTGGGGTATTCAAATCTAGAGGGCAATTGTAATGAGAAATGAGAGAAGAAGTATTGCATGATGATCTGAAAAGCTTTGCCTTGGAGGAATCTTCACAGCTGTGTAAAAACCAAACCAAACCAGGTATTAAAGTTCTCTGTCATATCCAAGGAATGCTAGCCAAAAGCAAAACACCAGTATCTTTCTCAAATGTGTAATGATAAAATAACAGCAGAAACTAAATATGTTTTAGTCAAGCTTTTTGGAACTCTGGAAATTCAGTAATTGTGTTTCTTTTAATTGGAGATGGTGCATGATGTTAAAGTGACATAAATAAAAGGGCTTAATTAGAATTTGGGACAACTAAACTCATCAAATTATTATCACTGTATTATTCACTATAGAGAATTGTAGTCTTGGTTTTGCATAATTTAGTAAGCCTTAGATACAGTGTACATGGACCTAATCCTTGACATTTTCCAATGTGGGCTCTATTAAAAAGCAAAAAAAAAAAAAAAGTACATGTTCACTTCTCTTCTGTTGTTTTGGTCTAGGTCTTTGAAATTAAATAACTACAACTTAGTTTACTTTTATCTATATGAATTCCTAACAGGTATTTAAATAAATGGAAGATACCTGCGTTGCTAAACCTCCTTTGGTCTGGTTTCTTTTCTGTGTTTTCCTTCTAAATACATCCCACGGCTGGGAATATAATTGCATGAATGATGCATCTGGAGGTTGGGATAGGCTGTTGTATACAATCAATCAGGTGCAATACAATACACAGAGAACTTAGAATTTGAGACTTCTAATCAGACTTGTGCAGGATGGTGTTATCACATAACCATTTCACAACCTTCAAGTTAATTGATGGTATATGTCTGAAACGACATGTAAGTTCTCCACTCATCTTAGAGTTGCTGAGACTGAGAAACACCAAAGTAGGGCATTCCTCTTCATTCCAGCACTGCACAAGGGCAGCCTCAAGGTGTTTAAAATTGGTTAGGCTTTGTCTTCTACTACTTTGGAGGTAAACTGGGTGATTGCAGTGACTTGAAAGAGAGGCAGGATAAAGGGTGGCAAAGAGAACAGCTAATTTTATGCCATGTTGCTTTCCAAGGATTGATGGATGGATAGTACTTCAACTCAGCAGTGAAAGCACAATATTTGGAAGGACAAATAAGGAGATGATTGGACAAAAGAGTGTTCTCTGGCTTGTCTGAAACCAACCTGGCCAGTTTTTTAAAGCTGAGGGATATTTTGATGCGATTTAATTTACAGGAAGAAATCATTGTGATTGAATTGTTTGTTAGGGAACAAATTTGCTGTTTATGCAAAATTGCACAACAACAACAGCTGTGTTGTTTGCCAAAAGAAATGCCAGGATGTTTCTCATTGGGGGAAGTATAGATTTGCTGAAGCAGTTTTGCTCAAACTCTTTGAACAGGCTCCTCTTGTAAGGACACTCTTCCTTTCGTATATGGTCAGTTACCCAGATGCAAAATACATACACAATATTGTACCAAATATAGGAGAGCCATGTTAGTCTATGGCAGCAAAAAATCAACTTTTCCAACTAACACATTTTATTAAAAGGCATAAGGTTTCATGAGCTGCAGCTCCCTTCATCAGATGCAAGTCGCTAGACTGATGGAGGATTTAAATTGGGATGAGGCTGGGGGTGGGGGGAAGGGAAGGAAAGACAGGTGAGTTATAAAGATGCAGGTTACACGTGAGACAGATTGCCAGTACATTATCAATTAACAATTGTAATGTGTTAAAAACCCTTTGTGTTTGTTGAGACCTTTTGATGGATATGAGTTTTGCAATCTCTTGCTCAGCGTTGCTTAGAATAAGTCTTGTTCTTCTAAGAGGGTCACTCTGAGGTCTGCAATAGAGTGTCCTGGGAGGCTGAAATGCACTGATATTACTCAATGTCCTTGACATCAGGATTCAAAATAAGGACAATGTAATATCAGGCTCAAGAAGATGTTCTGTAGTTTTTGATTGTGCAGGGTGGGAATTAGTTGCCTTTTGCCTCATAAAACAGAATAGCATCATCTCTTTGAAAGAATGGTTGATGGTTGTTTTTCCTGCCAGTAGATGATATCAGGGGCCTTGTTGCTAAGGCAGAATAGGATTCAGCAATGAGGGCAGCATGAGGTATGGCAGCATACTTTTGTGCCACCTCCCTGCCAGAAGAAAATACATTAATGCAGCTTTGAAGAAAAGCCCTGGCACAGAGGAACTCCTTATTCAGTTTGGCTTAATGATGAATAAGACAAATAGGACCTTACCAAGAATCAACGTTGACTTCATAAGGCAACAGATCTGCCAAAATGCCCTTCCTCCCAAACTGTTTTCTACAAATGCGGGAGAAATCCAATGTTACTGTACAGTTCTGGGCTTATGAGGCAGAATGACTCCAGGTTCTTTGAGAGTTTTTCTTTGGACCTTCCTACCTTGCCTAAAAGATGTCCCAGTGTTTGAAAATAGAAGCCTTCCAGGACACCCGTGTCCATAACTAGTGTGAGATGGGGACTCCTGCTGGGTCTACTGCTAATTCCTGGAGCTTAGAGGCTCTCTCATGAGATGTCCCTGTGTCTTGTTTTATAATTTCCAGTCTGCCCAAAGGCTTGCTGAGTCAAAGGCTATCGTAACATAAAGAAGATTGATTGTAAGAGGAGAGAATAGAAGGTTAGAAGTTATCCAACAATTGAGATAATAGAACAAACAGGCACAGCAGGTCATACTGCTATACTTTTTCTTATCATGAAATATATTTCTAATTATATGCTAGTAATCCATTCTAGGAGCCAGTCTGATATAGTGATTAAAGGCACCAGGCGAGAAACTGGGAGACCATGAGCTCTAGTCCCACCTTAGGCACAAGCCAGTGGGGTGACCTTGGGCTAGCCACTCTTTCTCAGCCCTAGGAAGAAGGCAGCCGTGGCAAACCACTTCTTCTGAAATCTTGCCAAGAAAACTGCAGGGACTAGTTCAGATAGTTGCCAGGAGCCAAGGCTGCCTCAAAGGCATACACACAAATTCTAATTTTGCTATTATATCCTATCAACACTGGCAAATTATATGTGAGTGTCCTACTTTGTCATCTTTTTTAAAGTGTTCATTTCCTCTATCCATGTCCACTTCCACTCAATAAACACACTATGAACTGGAAGACTGCCATAATGGAGAGGATGAAGGAAAAACACTTTCATATCTGTTTCTTTCCTATTCAGCTCACTGTTGCTCAGGACAACCAAATCCAAGAGGTGTCACTGGGAAATGTCTTGAGTAGGAATCATCATCATTGCAGGAGATTTGTGAGAAATAAGAAAGGCACATATATCCTGTCTTTCCCAAGGGTTTCCCAAAGGTATCTCACATAATGCATCGATTACACAGAATGAGTGGTTTCAGTCAAATACAACTGGCTCACCTCTTGCCACCATCCCTGTACATAGCATGAGATGGGCAGAGATTTTATTTTCACCTAAGACAAAAAAACCAGTTTGGGTTTACGCTAATTTAGTGAGGGGTCAACACTGTTTTTTTTTAAAGAAAAACAAACTGCAACGCTTTAAGATATATCTTTGAATCCTTGAGATTATGCCAGTCTGATTTTGCAGAAGGGAACCCTAACTTCTTTATTTCCTAATGTTAACAGTGGATTGTGCTAGTAGGCTTCCATATCCAGGCTACACAAATCCAGACAGTCATTAGATTGGAGTCAAGAGTTGAAGTACTGTATCTCTCCGCTGTCATCTAGTGGCTGTCCAGATTTTTACAGGCCAGATATGGTAATCTTATATGGATGGGAAAGCAGCAAGGTCAAATTTAGCCTCACCCCATTTCAAACATACCTATACTCTAAATCCATTGCCCCATCTAGAGCACAACCTTTTCCCCCCACTTCCCACTTCTAATTCAATATTTATGCAAAGTGGGCTATTAAAATACAGAGAACCAGATAATTGTTTGAACTGTTAGTATTTTTGGTAAATTGCAAGAGCAATGAATATATCAGAATGATGCGATTTCATAATGAAAAGCAATAAACGAGTGCAATGTATGTTCTGCTGCCTTGGGGTCCCTGATGCAAGAGTTACAAACATGCCCTCTAGTGATCAATCTGAAGAAACTACTTCCAGTTAGAGAAATTTGTGCAAGGATGAAAAGGAAAAAGGTCATCCACTCCCTTTCCTTCCTCTAGCTTAAGTTCAGCAACAACAGGGTAAAATGGAGCCACAATGGCATGACCTAAAGACACATATCAGAACAGGGTATTTTATGCAGCCAATTCCCTTGTCTTATCTAGGCTCTGGTTTCCTTCAACCACCGGAGAGGAAACCATTATTAATCTTCTTGCACAGAAGTGGACTCCAGCTCTTAAAAACATAAGCCTTCAACTAATATAACCTCACTGGAACCACTGCAAAGTAGTCCATATTATGGGAGCAGGTAAACTAGGGTATTTGGAACTATAACTTCCACAGTCCTTAGCAATGCTAAGGAGTTATTTGACAGCAAAGTAGCATCACTTAGCTCCAGCTGCAGAAAGGCACAGTTCATTTCCTGCAGCCATTTAAGGCAAGGCTCCATGTTTACGACCCACTTCAGTAAAGGCCTCCACACATCGATCAATATCCTCTTCGCTGTGAACTGCTGAGATCTGTACTCGGATACGGGCTTTACCCTTAGGCACTACGGGATAGCTGAAGCCGATGACATAGATGCCTGTTAGGTGAGAAAAAGGGTGCTGCGGTTAGTCCAACCTTGCTTTATTATTTGCATGGTTTACTGCCTTAAACCTTACTCGGTAAGTTGCTCAGAGAGGTCTCAATATTGAAATGCAGTTAATAAAATAAATAACATATGGATAGCATAACATACAGCAAGATCCTATGACACTAATCTGCACTGTAGAGTGATGGTAGAACTCTAGCACTGAAGGATTACGCTGGTGTGCTGGTGTGGAATGTTTAACTAAGCAGTCTGTGCTATATATTTCTGTCATGGAAGGGAAGGTTGGCAATTTGGCTAGGGTTTGGCTGATCTTCTTTCAATGGTAGGCTGAAAATAGGAGAAAGGTGCTAGGTGGACTTAGGAAGCTGCTGAAGCAGACCATTGGTGCATCTTACTTGGCATCCTCTGCTTCAACTGGCAGTGGCACTCCAGGTTTCAGGCCAGAATCTCTTCTAGTCTAATTAGAAGGTCCAAAGTTCTAAAGAATGCAAAAGAATGAACAGAAAAAGATGCTTATGGAAGAATAGATGGTTTAAGAAAGAGAGAAGACAAGGAACAGAAGCAAGAAGTAGCTAACTGGAAAGGGAATTTCATAGCACTCGAACTCTGACGTGGATGCTTATCATCTACAGATCTGCAATTCTAATCTCACTGCCTCTTTATGACCCATCAACCCAAGGTGGAAGTAAATGCCAAATTAGCAGCTGTAAAGCACTCGGACTTCCAGCACTGTACAATGTCTGAGAGATAACTCTAGGATCTCTTTCAAAATCACAAAATGGCACATTTGGATCATTTTGGGAGGAAAGAGATTTTAGAAACTGCTAAAAGTTCAGTTGATATTTGCCAGGACTCATCTGCTTCTATGGGGCTCTTCTTCCATGCTAGGTTTCTGGAAACAACACTGCCTAAAATACCTGTTAGAAGATGCAATGCTAGACTTAGTTGGCTGAAGTTGCCTTTTAGTCAAGTGTGAGCTTCCTTTAACATTGTTTTTAGAAGAAAAACAAAATGTTCATTCAGTGAAAAAAGCGACTAATATTAAAATTAAATAACAACAGAAAGACATCTATTAGGGCTATCATTTAATCAAGAATACCACCTAAATTAATATATTATTCACAAGAGTGAAAGGTACAATGCTTCATCAAGATGCACACCTTTTTGAAGCACCTGCATTTAAAAAATGGAACTACTGTGGGAAAAGCTGAGTCAAAAGGAGATAATACATCAGATTCTCATATTAATTTTCATGATATCAGCTGATCCAAGCTATAGAAGCTATATTTAGCAAATTTAAAAAGAAGCACTATATCAAGGATGTGTCAAGTCCTTATCCTCTTCTATTTGGCACTGGTGAGAGCACACTGAAATTCTGTATATAATTCTGGGAACCACGGTTCCAGAAAGATGTTGACAGGTTGGAGAGTTCAGAGGATGGCAATCCAAATGATATTGGGATCTGAGGACGTGCCCTACGAGGACAGGCTGAAAGAACTCTAAATGTTCAATTTGGAGAACACTGAGGGAAGCTCTCAGTGCTCAAGTACATAATATCAGTATTCAGGTTCACAAAAGGGTGCCATGAGGAACATGGTCAGAAGCTATTTTCCACTCCACACATACTAGGGCCAGAAATAATGGATATTAGTTGCAGCTACCTAGATTTCACTTCAACGTAAGCAAAACTACCTGATAAGACCTGTACAAGAGTGCAACAGTCTCTGTAGGGAGACTGTGGGTTCTCCATCTAAGAAGGCTTTTAAGGAGGGTGGTGTAACTGGTTTTCCTAGAGGGTGGAACTAGATAATCCCCGTGGTAATCTTTCAGCTTGACCGTCCCACAATTCTATTAATTCAAAAAGGAATTTGTTTCATTTGTGAAAATGGCAGAAGTCTCAGAAATAGGAATTAGCTCAGCTATTTCTTCTACCTGAAAACTGCCAGGATGTTCTCCTCATTTACCTATCTTCTGTTAAAGAGTAAATTGGGATGGAACAGGGGAGCACTAGTTCCAACTCTGATGGCCTTCAATGGAGAAGGATGCAAGTGGATTTGTTCTCATAGTTCTAAGATTTTAAATCAGCTGCACAAATCAGATTCCTTCTAGAAGTTATGGGTTATTACCACCCATGATGTCTATAACGGCAGAATATTTAAAGGGCACCAGGTATAGGGTGACAGCTTTAAGCCTTCCTACAACTTAACTGGTACTGAAACCAATACCTGAGGGCAAAACATCACATTAGATTATGTGAGCCCCCTACTACTCCAAAACGTTTACCTCTTTTTAGCATATCATCAGCCATCACTGAAGCTAACCGGGCATCACCCAACATCACAGGGCAAATAGGATGATTATTGCCTGAAATCGTAAAGCCAGCTGCTGCCATCTTGCTTCGGAACCTGCAAGGAAAATCATTTCATCTGTTTTATGCTAAATGCATAAGCCTGGCATCTCAGTAATTCACTCTTTCTGATAGCAGAAAACATAATTTCCTAGAAAGAGAATTCAGATGATAGGTGCCACTGGTTATATAACAAACAGCAGAACCACTGAGAACATGTATGATATAAGGGGACAAGTTCCTCCTTCCAAAACAGAATAGGATCTAAGCATGATTTATTTAGTTAGGCAACAACTGGCTTCAGCAACCAGTTCCAGCTTCCCTTCTCTTCTCCACCACGATTGCTTGCAAAGAAACTACGATACTTCAGCAAAGTATACACATAGACACATCATTAAACAAAGTCAGGTGGTTCCTATTCTCTCTCTTCCCCCATCCTCACATGCAGAAGACTGGCTGCAGTGCTTTCTCCATCTCATAATAAACTAAGAGAACCAAAGCTCTTTTGCAACCTAATGAAGGCACAATTACTCCAGACAGCAGACTGCTGCTCCTCCTGGGCCTCTTCCATTTCTTGCAGGATGACACCTAGTGATGTGAGGTCAGCAATCAGGCTGCCTGGATTGGATGTGTAGGCTCAACACAGTATGACACCTTCAAGAAGAGGCCCAGGAAGAACAGAAAAAAATAACAATTGGTTCTCATGAACCAGACCAAAGCAGCTACATAAAAAGCCTGTTAGCATCCAATGCTGGGAGAAGTATCAAAAAATGGAAAATGAGGATGGAATGGAACATCCTGGAGGACAGCTGAACTGGTTGGTCAGAACAAGAGAACCATGTTACTACATTTTGATAGAAGTTCTACCTTTTGCACAAACTGAGCAAGTTTCATTAGCTCACTTAATTGGCACAGCAGGACAAGGTATTTCATCGCCTTCACCTGAAATGTTGAGCATTCAGCAAGGATTGGGGCAAGAATGTAAAAAAAAACCAATTCAAAGTAGAAGGCTACAGGAAGAAAAACATCCTCCTTATGAGAACTATAGAAATCAGATGAGTCTGAATTAGGTAGCAATTCTTACTACATCTTCTAGAAGACAGAGACATATATGGAATTGTAAATACAGTATTTCCAGAATTCAACTGGAATACCATTTGTCTAAGGCAGACAAAGTTCAGTTCATTCCTTAGTTCTCATTTGAAGAATGTTTATTAGAACTAGATGAACAAGAAGGATGAAAATATAAATGTTTCAGTGCAAGCTGGCAAGCCTCTTTCTTCCATTCTTATCACAAAGCATGCTTAGGTTCAACTGCTTAGAAATGCATTGCTAAGGGGAATTCTTGCAGAGTAAGGACTGCTGATTTGTTAAGCTCTAGAGTATGTTTTTAGATTCTTCCATCATGCTAAGACATTATAAAACTTGCTTAGTTTTGGCTTAGCATGCTGTGTTTATGGCTTGTTAACTATGGTTTATGATTTACCATGCTGTGCAAATATAGGTTTATTCAAATAACACTTAAGCAACCCATACTTTAGTTCAATAGGTGAACCAGTCCCTATTTCCATGTAGAGCAACCTATTATTAGATTAGATTATTAGTGTTATCTATAAAATATAATATAAATATATTCTCCCTTACTGTGAAGTCTTGGCAGCCATGGACTGTGCAATGGCATTGCTCTCCATGAGTAGGTCCAGAGCTTTGGAGGCACAGCCCACAACAGCAGGAGGTAAGCTGTTGGAAAAGAGGTAAGGGCGAGAACGTTGGCGCAGAAGATCCACAAGTGCTTTAGGACCAGTTGTATAGCCACCTACAAAGAGAAAAAATAATTCTTCTATTACAGGCCCGCAAAGCTTGCAATCCACCAACCAGTAATCGACAATGAGCCTTCCAAGATCCTGACCCACAGTCTTTGCTCCTTTTATAGTCCAGACAGTGAAGATCAAAGATCCCAATGGGCTATCATGGATGACTGGTGGTCTGTGCTCCTCTTGATGGTTCATGCATTTATGCGGGAAAAGTACAGTAATTAGCATAAAGACTAACCAAGTTCTTCACTTCACTTTGAAAGGAATCTGCATTAGATGCAGGAAGAGTAAGTTAGTGGCAAACACTGACAATCAAATATTTTGCTTTTCTTAGGACAGGTAGAACAATATTTTTGTGGGCAGCAACTATGCTTTTGAATGGCTAATGGCTGTAGGGGCAGAGACCTAAAGATAGCATAGGATGGGGTAAAGCCTGAATCTCCTTTTTTCTTTGAATTAAAATAGGGCTGTCAGTGGCTTAATACTCTTGTTACTTCTCATTTACCCCCAATCTAAAGAAAATTGTGCTGATTTGGTGGTTTGGAAAGTGTTGAGGGACTCCAGAAACATAAAAAAAAAATGGACCTGGTTGATTGAATGTGGCCTGCAGGCAACCCAGATTTATCTAATGGCTATACATATTGCCAGAGGTAGAATTTAGAGAGTTAGATGGTTGGAGTCTTGGCTAGGATTTCCTTTTGAAAGGGTTCAGTGAAAGGGTTTCAGGCCTCCATAGTTAGAATGGAGAAAAACAATTTAAAGGAACTTAAATGCTTTTCCCCTTCCTAAAGAAGTTTGTATGGTGCTGCTGGATCAATTATCCTGGCTTGATACATGCCTAGGAGCTACAGATGACCATGAAATGGACAGAAATAGTACTATGTCTAGACAGGCATGAATTGATACCTCAAGCTCAATTATTCTCTTAAATTTCCCATTCTTATACATTGTCCTCCCCAGCCTTCCCCAACATGGAGCCTACCATCCTGTCAAGGAATAATGGTATGCAACACATCTGGAGAGCACCAGATTGGAGTAGACAAAGCTAGTGTCTTTGGCTATAGTACAAGACCATAAACCCGTCCTCTCCTTCAAACTTATTTCCAAGATAGGAGTGAGAAAGATCTGCAAAGCTGCTTGCAGTGTAAAGCAAAGCATAAATTAGTAAGCTAAAATAGAAAATACATTGCTCTGTCTTTCCTCCAAGCTTCCAAGGGTTAGAAACGATATGTTAAAACCACTAGCTGGAATTGGCACCTGCTGCTCCCCCAAGGGCTTTTCCAAGTGTTGAGTTGATTATAGTTACTTGATCCATCACTCCCAAAAGCTCATCAGTGCCCCTGCAGGGAGAAAAGAGCTTTAATAGTCTAGCCAGTTCAGGTCAAAGTAACAACAACTTAAAACCAGCATGCTAACACTCACTTACTCCATGGAGCCTTGCCCCTTCATTGTCATTTTTAGAATGGAAGGATACAAACAACTATCTAGTCTGAAAAAGAAAACCTGTAAATTCTAATGGAATATACAGTCTTCTCCAACTTGACATCAGGTTGGGGAAGACTATTCTAGAACTGTCATACCATAAACATTTTTGTGTGTTCTTGCTTTTTAAGTCTCCCTCAAAAAGACTTTGCCCAAAACAGATCTAGAATTGTCTTCCATGTGTCTCTCTACACAGACTATAATAAGCCACTCCAGAATAGGCTTGACTTCCTGTCTGCAGAGAACTCTTCAAACAAGCATATTGTTCAGGAGCCTTCTCTGCTATTAAGGAAGCTCTTATGCACTACAAAGGATTGAGGGATGTATTCAAAAGAATCTCTTTGAAAATAGGGACTAACAAAGTCTGATAGCATACAGTATATTCAGATCCAAAGTGAACAAGAGGGCTTGTTCAGATCCAGCATAGGAGCCCCCTCTCTTATTGTCAGCTGCTCTTTAAAGGAGTAGGAAGAGGGTACCTGTGCTGGATCTGAAGCACTCTTGCCTGTTTTGGATCTGAATACCATACACCTCAAAGTGAGTATATGATCTAAAATGTGCTTATTTCCCAACAACACTTGCATTGTAGAAGATTGGTACAGTTTTAAGAATGTTTATCTGCCATTCATGATCATCTCAAAAGAATTCCCAGAAACACAGTCTGAGAAACAATTGACCTATGTACAAGGGGGAAGGTATACACAAATAAAAGGCTGACACTTCCCTTCACATATAGAATTCCACACAAATGTAAATACAGTGTGGAATGCATTGTATTTGTCATCTTACAAGCAGGATGGCAAATACATTGTTGTTGTCATCATCCTGTAAGCAGACCGCTGTTCCATTTTTATGACAACTTCCATTCCATGACTCTTGTTATTAAGCTCTTATTATACTGTATACTGCTGAGAGAGGGACCATATACCGGTAGTCCTCACTTAATGACCACAATTGGGACTGGCAACTCTGTCACTAAGCGACATGGTTGTTAAATGAAACATCACGTGACCAAGCCCAACTCATGTCAGTTCCATTGCAGTCGTTAAGCCAATCACCCACGGTCATTAACCATGACTTGCAACCTCCTGCCGGCTTCCCCATTGACTTTGCTTGTCAGAAGCTGGCTGTGAAGATCGCAAATGGCAATCACGTGACTGTGGGATGCTGCGACCATTGTAAGTTCGAGAACCAGTCATAAACCTACTGTTCCAGCATCACTGGACATTTGAATGGTTGCTACACAACGCAGACATTAACCAAGGACTACCTGTATTATGCTAAATCATACTGTGTTTTATTTGATCTTGACTTAGCTTGTTGTGTGAACCCAATCACTGTGGACCAGAAATCATGGGTTGCATAATGCATTGCATTACTTCAGACATTATGGTTTATTTAACAAATCATGGATAATTTAACATGAGAACTCAGAAGATAGCTATGTATACACGCACACTGCTGTATATGTAAAAAAAAATTGTGTGCCTTTTTGACAAAAAGCAACACAGAAACAAATTTTAACTAGCTATTCTCAACAAATGCAGTCACTATAGCTGCTTTTCTAAAATCCTTTCCACCAGAAAAAAAGAGGTAAAAGAGAATAATAGTTTCTTACCTGCCATTAGGCCCAAGAAATCCAGTGGCATGACATTCATCGACAAAAACAAAGGCTTTGTATTTCTGAGCGAGGCTACAGATTTCCTTTAAGGGGGCAATATCACCATCCATGGAAAAAGCACCATCAGTAGCTACCATCCGTAGACGATATTTCTGTGCGGAACAGAGGGTGACATAGTATAGGCAAGGGATTCTAGCTAGCCAAAGAACCTGAGACTTTTTTTGTTTGTTTTTTTGAGATTTGTACTACTGAACAATCTAGGAAAAGTCCCGTTACTAACCTGTGCGTCCTGCAGCTTGACTTCCAGATCCTGCATATCCATATGTTTGTAACGATACTTATTGGCTTTACACAGACGGATGCCATCAATGATGGAGGCATGGTTCAGTTCATCTGACAGTATTGCATCTTCAGGTGTCAGAAGTGCCTGTAAATACCAGAAAAGAAACAGAATAGTTACAGAAAGCAACTAGTTGCTCCATTTAGCATGACAGTCTCATATCTCCCATAAAATGTTATTCTGGCTAGTCCAAAGACTACCCCAAAGATTAAATTACAGAGTCCCCTGACATTAGTTCATCACAGATGGGAATTAACAAAGATTCTAATATGGCTAAGTTATTAACAACTGTTGTTTGGAATGGTTGGTATGTTTATTTTGCATGCATGTAATTATAACAGGCTCTTTACTTAAACATTTATTTCCCTCTGACACCTCTGTTTACATTTTTTGCTCTATACCCCTATGTCTATTTCCATATACAAGTTTCTGGAACATACGTACATACACAGGCCTGGTTCCTCTACCACACTAAGCCATGGTTTAACCATGATTTATTAAATAAACTACATTTGGCTGGGTGCACACCATACACTAAACCAGATCAAAACATATTATAATTTAATATGAGTCTAATCACTGTACCATAATATTGCAATTAAAGGAATTAAAATAACCTTTGTTATTTATTGCAACAGAACTACTACTACAGCAAATCATTCAGGAATTACAGCAAAGACAGTTGCTTTGGGATTGTGATGGGTAACCCACCCCACACCCACCCATCAGTCTCCCATTCACATAAAGCTAACAACCTCAAAGATCCCAGCATTGGCATCAAAGCAGCTGATGTAGAGAATGGCATCTTCTCTTTGATGGAAATGAGCAATCTTCTTCTCCAGATCTTTATGTATATTCTAAACAGTCGGAAAGTAGACAAAAAACCCCAACATAAATGGCTACAATGATCAGTGTTACCCATGCAGGTTGAAAAATCTACATCCATATTTTTGAGGATAGAACCACAGTGCATTCACACATTGATAAATCATGGTTTGCTTCAATCACATTTTCTTGCACAAAGTATGATAAGAAGCATAGACAGTACTATACCATAAACAATCCAGCATATCTGAGAGCACTAGCTTGAGAAAAGATGTTATTTATTATCTAATAGATCTATACCTCCAACATTATATACAACTCATTTCAGTATGTCCAGGTGTAACTCATCCCTCTCCACGTAGAAAGCAGCTTCTGGTCCAGCACCAAACACATCTACACAGTCAAATCTGAATGGAAGGGTGATATTACTTTACATTCTGTTTTCTTGTCAGAAATATCCAAATAACTGCAGGTGCAGTAACTATTATTTCACCAAGATAGATCAACGTGGCTTTAGAGCAGCATTTCTCAACCTTGGCAACTTTAAGAGGTGTGGACTTCAACTCCCAGAATTCCCCAGCCAGCATGCTAGCTGGCGAATTCTGGGAGTTGAAGTCCACATCTTAAAGTTGCCAAGATTGAGAAACGCTGCTTTAGAGAGACCCACTGTATGAGGAAACACAAAATCAGAACTGGGTAATAGGTATATAATAGAATCCTGAGAAACTAAAATCTTTATAAACCTTAGCCCCTAAAGCTAGCCCAGGAAATGTGTTAGTCATTTTTCATGCTTTTCTCTTTCCTCCATCCCCAAAGTTCAGGACTTCTGGTATGGAATTATAGCATTCCATAATAATGTTAGGGCTATGCACTGCTTTGGATTCAAAGGCAAAAAAATTACTCAGAGCCTGCAGGAGCATGTACGTGACATCTGTCTGTAATTCCTTAAGCCAAATGCATCTTTTCTTGGGATTGTGCTGCAGCTGGGGAGAGATGCTGGGAGATCTTAAGGAAAGATGCAGCTTCTTCAAGAAGTTGTAGATACTGCTAGTGAGCACCCCATATGCTCCAAAGCCCCTTTCTGCCCTCAGATTGAAGTGGTAAACAGCCCTAAGAAATAATACAACAGAATGTTGTCTTGTCTGTGAAAATAATAGCTTTAACTCTAAAAAAAACTGTCCCCAGGGCAACTGCTAAAGAAAATCAAGTTTTCAAATATTTGCCCTGCAAATATAGTAAGGTGTTATTAAATGAAGAAGGAAAAGGTAGCTTTTACACAGTTCTGCATTCCTACTCCTTCCTACTTGCGTTCCACAGATGAAGCGGACAGAACTGAGGCCAGCTCCATACTTCCCTAGAGCATCAAGTCCAGCATGGATAACTTCTGGATGACTAGAAAGTCCAAGGTAATTGTTGGCACAGAAATTCAGGATATCTGCAAAAATGACAAATAGTAACAGGAAGAAGCAAACTGGGCACAAGTAGTCCAGCCTTGTGCATCTTAAATAATTCTATATTTTTCACTTAGATTGTAGATATATACAATTTTGCTTTATGCCACAAGGTTTTTTTGTCCATTTAACCTACTCTAATCAGCTGCAGCTTGTCAGAACATCTAGCAGACATCATTTTGTCATTTGTTGCCTGAGATTTGAACACTTGAAGATAGACTATTAAGAACATTACCCTACAGGCCTTCCTCAATAATTGCAGGTTTCAATACTAATTTTTAAAAAATACCTGAACAGACAAGGCCCACTGAGTTACTGAAAAGGCTTTTGTTTACACTAGCAAATATGGGAGAATGAACCTTTGTTTGAATTGTTCTTTTTATTTTAAAGTTTGTATTTCTAGATCTTTACGGAACAGCTGTTCTTTATAGACATACCAGTAAACATCATTGTTTGGACTGTAATGCAGAGAGTCAGAGCTATGGACATAAATGCAAAGAGTGGTCATGGGAACAGCAAGATCAAAGTTAAGTTATAATATTAATCTACTCCAAGGGTGGGTAACTTGAGGTCCCAGGGCTTCACACTGGAATCCCCTTTTTGTTGACTTGGCACGCCCTTTGGCTCTGATGGGCTGAAAGAAACAGCAAGAACCTATGCTGTCAATTAATCTGGGAAATAGATGAAAACCGAAGTATAAAACCCTAACAAAAGGTATCAGTGTTAAAAACAGAATCCCCATATCTACCCCAAACTTGCTCTTGTCCAAATATGATACGGCCCCATTCAAAAAAGTTAAGTGCAGCCCTTAAAAGTCTGCCCCCATCTTCACTCTCCCCACCTATCACAACTTTCTCAGCTTATGAAAACGTGTGTGAGCATGTAACCTGTGCACTGGTCCCAGGTTCAGCAAGATCCCAACTACCACTTCTTTTTAACTTATTCTTAAACGATGCAGTGTATGTCAAATTATTTAGATGGTTAAACAAAAAGGAATAGTAAAGAGTTAAAAATGTTGTTCCTAAATGGGAGGAATAGGGACTAAAATGATAAATGTGGTTTGAAATAAGCAAGCGTAACATAATGGGTAAAAAAAAATTGTACACATGGGACAATCCGATCTTTAAGATTGGGCACAAACCATTTTTCTGGAGGGGGGGAAGCATTAACATTTTAGACTAGTTTATTGTTAACCAGTTTTTTCAAAACTTTTGATTTTTGTGAAAATAATTCTGACTATGTGAGAGTTCTCATGGTAATATATTCAGTGAAAAAATCTTGACTGTATAGTTTGAGTATGATGCATTAGCTGCATCTGAAGTTTCTAAATTTCTAATATGATTAGAAAAAGCTCTAACCCTAGAGCTAACTTTTATTTATCATTGAGAAGTGATACTGAAAAAATATGGGTAATTTGCACATAGCTTCCAATAATAGGTTAGAAGATTTTGTTTTAACAAATCAATGGGCCAGGGTTTTTAAAAATGTCACATCAGTATCACTTGAACTTAAGATGAATTTAATCTTTCAAAACTACTAGATATACAGATAAGGGATGTGTAAGAAGGGTTGGATTTGATGCAGGGTTCCCAAGAAAACGACAAGGCTCGTTATAACCTAAATCTTAACTCATAAAATTGATCTGTTTTTTTCCTTTTCTTGTAGGGCTACCAGCGCCACTAACATTCAACAGATGATACGTCTGAATTCTGCTTATCAAATGCATTCGTTCACCAAGAAGAAAAAAGAGGACCACGATCTCCTGAAACTACTGCCAAATGACTTTCCCCCGCAAAGCTTCGTCTCTCCTTCCCAACATACTGCCCACGGCTTACCTCCTCGGCTGCCTTCCACGTTAATATGCGGGCCTTGCTTTGACGTTATCACCCTCTCGCTCTTCCAGGTCCCTGCACCCCGGATACCCTCCAGCTCACCCTCCAACAGGCGCGTGAGCTGGGCTAAAGCAGACTGTGCCCGCGAGGGGCTGCATTGCCCCAGAACAAACGGGGACCGAACGAACTGACTGCACCACATGCTCCCGAAGGCAGTTTCCGCCTCTACAAAAGAAGCTAAAGCTGAGCGACGTGGGCATCACGTAAAAAGAGGTGTAGACTGAGTAGCCAATCAGAGAACAGAAACGGCTTCCCCCTCCAGCAGCACCAATTAGCAGCAAAGTTTATTTAAAGAGACAGAGGAAAGTTGGAAGACACGCTATTCTGACAAGTCTGAGCGGAGCTGAAATTGAACTGAAATTGGTAACGAGCGGAATAAAAAATAGCTTGATGGGTTGTTGGAACAAGTACTGCAGGCCTAAAAGGAAAGAGTGAAAGGAAGTTATCAGCTGACCAGGTTTGTCATGCAATTTTCCATTTGTTTAGGGCAGTGTTTCTTAAACTTTTTTCTCCCAGGATTCCTTTCCACTTTTAAAAATTAGGGTGA